AGGACATGGCCGAAGCTCACCAAGCTACAGGTGGGCTGCTCTGTCTACTGCATCTCTGCACACCCTGCTCTGCTCGGATTGAATCTGCTCCCGGCTGGAGGTGGGAAGTTGCTGCTGGAAAGGGAGTGTTGCAGGACAGGGAGTCTCAGCACCACATTTTCATTCCAGGACAGGTTCTAGTGACCATGACAGGAGCTGGCAGATGAAGAGATTCAGAGCAGCCCAAGGAGAAGGACTTGGGGGTGTTGGTCAATGAGAAAATGAACAAGGGCCAGCTTCAGTGTGCACTCACAGCCCAGAAACCAACCGTGTTCTGGGCTGCATCCAAAGCAGCGTGACCAGCAGGTCCAAGGAGGTGATCCTGCCCCTCTGCTCTGCTCTCGTGAGACCTCACCTGGAGCATTGTGTGCAGTTCTGGGGTCCTCAACATAAAAAGGACATGGAACTGTTGGAACAAGTCCAGAGGAGGCCACGAGGATGCTCAGGGGCTGGAGCACCTCCTGTATGAAGACAGGCTGAGAAAGTTGGGGCTGTTCAGCCTGGAGAAGAGAAGGCTGCGTGGAGACCTCAGAGCAGCTTCCAGTGTCTGAAGGGGGCCTATAGGGATGCTGGGGAGGGACTCTTCATTAGGGACTGCAGTGACAGGACAAGGGGTAACGGGTTCAAACTGAAACAGGGGAAGTTTAGGTTGGATCTCAGGAGGAAATTCTTTCCTGTGAGGGTGCTGAGGCACTGGAATGGGTTGCCCAGGGAGGTTGTGAATGCTGCATCCCTGGCAGTGTTCAAGGCCAGGTTGGACAGAGCCTTGGGTGCCATGGTTTAGTGTGAGGTGTCCCTGCCCATGGCAGGGGGTTGGAACTGGATGGTCTTAAGGTCCTTTCCAACCCTAACTATTCTATGATTCTATTCTGTGATTGTAGGAGGGCAGCAGGAGGCACCATGTGCTGGCCAGACCGTGGGACTCAGCTGTACAGTGGCACAGCTTTGCACAGAGGGGATTTTGAGTGATGCTGAGGAACAGGCAGTGGGAGATGAGCCCATTCCTGCTCTCTGTGGGTCTGGGCACTGGCTTGGCAGCACAAGAAGAGCCACAGCGCCAAGATTTCCGACTACAGTTGTTCTTTGAACCAGATTTGCTGGCACAGGGCTTGTCATGTGGGAAAAATCTTCCTGAACTGACATTTCCCCAGTGGGGAAAAAAGTCCTATTAAAACTCCCCCAACTCCCTCAAGTGTTGTAGGTGGGGGTAGAGCTGCCCTTGGGGACTTCTGTCCCTGCTTTAGCAAGCTTTAAACAGTCTGGGTGATGGACCTGAGCAGTCTGGTTAGAGCAGAACAGGCTCCTTGTGGGTTAATGTACCTCACCTTCGCAATGAGCAGAGCACCACTGCTGGCAAAAGCACCAGCTGATGACAGTGATGGGACAAGGGGAATGGCTTGAACCTGCCTGAGGGGAGACTGAGATGAGCTCTTAGGCAGAAGCTCTCCCCTGGGAGGGTGCTGAGGCGCTGGCACAGGGTGCCCAGAGAAGCTGTGGCTGCCCCATCCCTGGCAGTGTTCAAGGCCAGGTTGGACACAGGGGCTTGGAGCAAGCTGCTCCAGTGGAAGGGGTCCCTGCCCGTGGCAGGGGTTGGGGCTGGAGGAGCTTTAAGGTCCCTTCCAACCCAAACCAGGCTGGGATTGTGTAATTCTGTGCTTTACATAGAGCCCTCCTGTGCCACAGACAGCAGAGTGCATTCAGGTTGCCACCCCATACTGCACACACTGTGTGTGATGCTCCCGCTGCAGCTCCAGCATCTCCCCCTCAGCCGGGGTCCTGCAGCCCTGAGCTCACCCCCTTCACTAGCAGCGCTCGCAGGAGGTGCCAGGTGCCACCAGTGTTTCTGGCTGGTGGCTCTGCAGGCTGCCCCAACCCTGGTGTTATCACCCTGGGTAACAGAGGAGACAGCTACCAGGAGGCCTGCAGCCTCACCAGCCTCAGTTCTCAGTGGGGAAGGTTGCTCTGGGGAGGAGGTCACTCCCTGCCCTCTTGCTCCAGCCCTGTGAGGAGAGGACTGTGCTCCTCCTGCTGTTGTGGCAAGGCTTATTTAAGGGGTTCCTGCTCTCCTCGTCCTCATTTGGGTGCATTAAGGTGCTATTAACAGGCTTAAGGATAAGAGAAAGTCCCAGCCTGCAGGAGTCTGTCCACACCGAGGAAAACAAAGCCATGTGAATGACCACTGGTGTTAACTGGGAGGTTTTAACGTGGGGAGAGCTTTTTATTAACAGCCTTCATGTGTCATTCTTCATCTTGGTGAACCTAAGCTTTGCGCCAACACCTTCAGCACAGGAATGTTACAGCCTTGCCAAGGATGAGTTTAAAATGCAAGCATAAAAGCTCATTGGGAAAAGCTAGAACTAGCAGGGGTGGTTTCCCTAAGGCAGCTTGGTGGCTCTGGTGGGTTCTGGATTGTTGTGAAGGTCATGATCAGAGCCACAGCTGGGAATAGGACCAGGTATGGGGAAGGACAGAAGAACACTGAACCACAGCCCCAACCCTGGCTGTTGCAGGTAGCACTGACAAGGTCTTCCCTCTGCCAGGAGAAACTCCTCCTGCCCACACAGGGCTGGCAGATCCCAGCAAAAGATGGAGACATCCCACCCTTGGGGGCTGAGCTGTCAGCCCCATCCCTGCTCCTTGTTTTAATTGCTGATCAGAGCTGAGCTGCTCTGAACTTGCCTCCCATAAGCTACTTAGTGCTGTTGGTACAAGCAATTTCCTCATCCCTCTGAGCCTTCACTGATACAACACGGGCTGATGCCAGCCAGACCCAATCCATGCCCAGGGCTATCACAACCAGAGAATGAACCACAGATTAATCCCTCAGCCTGTACCCAGCTATGAATTTGCCCTTTTTGCTTCATAACAACAGCCCTCACCCTACTCACGCCACATATAAACATCTTTACAGCTGGATCCCACCAGACCACATCTGGTCTGGCTCCTGCACAGTCCCCTGTGATGGGAGGAAAACTGGAGTGGGCAGAGCTGGCCATAAGCTGCTGATTCTGCCTGTCCAGACACATCTTCATCCCATGGGATTTGCAGAACCATGGAACCAACCAGGCTGGAAAAGCCCTTCAAGCTCATCCAGTCCAACCATTGCCCAGCATTGCCAAGGCCATCCCTGCCCCATGGCATGGAGGCCTTGTCTCCATGGTATGGGAACAATTGCAGGGCCAGTGCCTGCAGCCCTGCCCTGGGCAGCCTGTTCCAATGCCTGAGCACCCTCTGGGGCAGGAATTGTTCCTCAGCTCCATCTAAACCTGCCCTGGGGCAGCTTGAGGCCGTTTCCTCTTGTCCTGTCCCTATTCAGCAGGACCCAAGCTCTTCCGTCCCAATGGCATCAGTGCCAGCGAGTCAGTGTCATCCAGGGATGGCCCAGTTGAGGTCTTGGAGAGGAAACTGGCTGAAATGGCCCCTTTCAGGAGGATCAGAGCTGTGTGTGTGTGTGTGTGTGTGTGTGTGTGGTGAAAAGCAGTTGGTTTGGCTCAGGAGGGGGAAGGTTCCATCTCCCAAATTGTTGAGATGTTTCTGCTCTGTTTGGTTACAAACTGAGCTTCAGAAATGCTCAGAATATTGCAGATGATGCTGCCAGAAAAAGGCATCTTCAGTTGCTTGCTCCAAGCATTTCTCAATAAAAAAGGTTTAAATAACACCAGGTCAAAAGCAGGGTGTCATTTAATCAATTCCTTCTGAAGGAACTGAAGGAAACCCAGTATTCCAGGGGGAAAGGAAATGGAATTCTTCCTTTTTACAAAGCCAGTTGTAAACCCTGTATTTTATCCTGCCCTCATCCCATGTCTTTGTCCTGCACAGTGCCCCCAGCCCTGAGCAACACGCAGGGAGCAGTCAGGAGGCCCAGCAGCATGTCCACATTCCCAGGGCAGGACCACCTCGCCCAGGAGCTCCACTGGGGCCTCAAACAGATGCCCAAAGAAAAGGAAGGAATGAACAAGTGTGTGATGGCTCCAAGTGCTCTGCAGGGGATTTTGTGAGTGGGTGGGATGTGTCCAGGCAGGAAACCTCCACGGGTGCTCTCTTCTTGGACCTCAGGAAATGGGATCTTACTTTATCACAAGCTGAGTCTCTGGGAGCTTGTGCAAGGAATGAAATAAGGCCAAGCTGGGGCTGTTCAGCCTGGAGAAGAGAAGCTGTGTGGAGACCTCAGAGCAGCCTTCCAGTGTCTGAAGGGGGCTACAAGGATGCTGGGGAGGGACTCTTCATTAGGGACTGGAGTGACAGGACAAGGGGTAACGGGTTCAAACAAACAGGGGAAGTTCAGGTTGGAGATAAGGCAAAAGCTCTTCCCTGGGAGGGTGCTGAGGCGCTGGCACAGGGTGCCCAGAGAAGCTGTGGCTGCCCCATCCCTGGCAGTGCTCAAGGCCAGGTTGGACACAGGGGCTTGGAGCAAGCTGCTCCAGTGGAAGGGGTCCCTGCCCGTGGCAGGGGTTGGAGCTGGAGGAGCTTTGGGGTCCCTTCCAACCCAAACCATTCTATCTTTCTATGATGCTCCATCCCTGGCAGTGTTCAAGGCCAGGCTGGACAAAGCCTTGGGTGCCATGGTTTAGTGTGAGGTGTCCCTGCCATGGCAGGGGGGTTGGAATTGGATGATCTTAAGGTTCTTTCCAACCCTGACTATTCTATGATTCTGTGAAATTCTCACCATAGCTGGGAGCAGGACCAGTGTCTCCAGCTGGGTTTTAACTCATGCTCTCAATTCATGATTTCCATCCGCTGGAGCATGGGTTATCTGCAATTCCAAGAGCTTCCTGCCTCCTGAGTGGAGCACTGAGCTAACCAGGCCCAGCACAGCGAGTGTCCACAGGCACCTCAGCCACCTCCACCCTTTCTCTCCACCCAAGTATTCATTAATGTTGGACTGGTCCTTTAAACCTAATTGCCACCGTGACTCCCCTTTTCATCCCCTCCCTTCTCAGGTGCCTCTGTTCCTCTTGCAGGTTGTCCCTTGCCCTTGTGCTCCACACCAGCTCTACACCTCAAGCTCTGCACAGGAGGAGCCCAGCTGTGAGCAGAGCCCAACCTGAACCCATGCAGCATCAGTGTGATGCGACACCCACGGAGCCCATGATGAGTCTTCAGTCCAGCTTAGACCCTGGAGCCAAGGTTGGTGTCTGGAGCTTGCTTGTGAGTTCTGCTGGCAAAGGGGAGTGAAAGGCTTTGTTAGGTTTGAATGGAGCTTGGCTGGGATGGGAGGTGCTCATGGGGCTGAATTTGACGCGTCCTTCTTCTTGCACTAGAGTGGGAGTGGGATGTGCTGCCACTCGAGTAGCCCCAAAGCAGCCATGCGTAGAATAATTTGGAGGTTTTGTAGCTCAAAAAGGGCACATGAGCGTGTCAGGAGCCAGCTGGCTCTTGGCATCTTCATTTACAGCTTCTGAGCTATAAGTTGAGGCTGCTGGGCTGCCCATGTCCTCCTAGATGTGGGCTGAAGGCATGGGCTGGGATGGGAGCCTCCCTTGGTCACTGCTGATGGCAGGTTTCACCCAGGGGGAAGCAGTCGCTGGCTGCAGCTCTCCATGCTTTCCCCAAGGAATATGTTTCCATAAAGGATGAAAGGAACCTGCCTGACCGGCTGTCCCAGCCACTTTCCACTGCCTGGCTCCCTTCCCAAGGCTGGCTCATGTGTCCTACATCCAAAGGCTGGGCTAATGGGGTCAGCAAACCTGCACTTGGCCCTGCTGTGCCTGTCTGGAGATGGGGCAGATGCTCTCCCTGTTCACTCAGTCTCTACTTCAGAGGCCTTACACCAGAGATACAAGTTTTTCTGGAGCAAAAGATGCCATGAGGTGGTGAGGTCATGAGTTATTCAGGGTGGCAGTAAACAGGGGTAGGCACAGATCTCACCCACAGGACTTGAGGCAAGAACCTGAAGGATGATGCCCGTGGCAGGGGTTGGAACTGGATGATCTTTAAGGTCCCTTCCAACCCAAACCCGTCTGTGGTTCTCTGGTGTGCAGGAAGGGGGAAAAGAGGAAACAGCCTTGTCCTCTGATGGGAACAGGGCTGCTTTGCATGTCCTGAGAAGCTTCTGTGCTGGTGCTGTGGCTGGTATCATTATGGGAAGTACCAACTGATGTTAAGCAGGACCAAGCTGCCCTTACATCTTTTAACGAGCTTTGGTAGTTTTCATTTTAATTGTCCATAGATACATTTCAACCCGACTGTCTCACAGCTCTTTGATCCCTGTCAGTCTCCACCTAAAGCCTGGGTAAGGTTTGTGGCTGCTCCCTCCTCCCAGTCTGGGGAATCTGCTGACCTCTCTCCTGCAGGAAACGCCTCAAACGCCTTTTCACCCTTGGAGCTGGGGACAGGATCAGAGCAGGGGTGAGCAAAGAGGAGTTTGCTCATTGCAGGGAACTTTGCTCTGTGGTTGACCCGATGGGAATGGATACGCTGCATGTTCCCATCCCTCTGTCCCACAGCCTGGAGAGGAGCTGCTGGTTCTGCTCTGGAGCCTCAGGCAGCAGCATCTCGGAGTTCACTGCTGCTCACAGCAGTGTTCAGGAGTGCTTCTGAACCTTCCTACAGCCCTGCTACACGGCAGAGAGTGTGCCTCCCAAACCAGGCAGACTTCACCCTCCGGTTCTACAGTGGGCTTCCCGGCAGCCGGGTCCCAGCGGTTCCCGAGTGCCATCTGCTGCTGGAACAGCGTCCTGCAGCAAGGGAGAGAAGCCAAGCTGGAGATGGGTGAAGTGCCCTTGGGAAGTGGCACCATGGAACTGAGGGGCTGTGGAGGAGTCTCATAGAGCGCTAAGGGAAAGGAAGGACGGTTTCCCTTCCTTTCCCTTCCCTTTGGAAAGCCAAAGCGGTTCTTGCTGGTGGAAGGGCTGATGGAGGGATGCCAGGAATGCTTCTTGGGGCAGTCAGGTTTGAGTTTGTTGAGGACTCAGATTCTTTCTTTGTAAGAAACAAACTCTTGCTGTCAAAATATGGGGTGATGCTTGCTGCAGGCTGCTGGGTGCTGCCCTGGTTCTTTGTGCTGAAACTGAAAGGGAGAGGCTTTGCAGCTCCCAGCTAGATAAAGGGGCTGTGTCACTGTCACGAGCACAGAATGGACAGGTCATTGCCCTCATTTCCTGCCTTTGCCTCAGGAAATCTCCACCAAACCTTGCCCTGAGTGAAGAGCAGGGGCTGCAAGCAGCAGGAGGTTGTGCTCAGTTTGCTCAGCTGAGCCCCTGTAGAGCAGCAAAACCCCCTTATGTCCTCTGGATCGCTCCAGCTTCCAGGCTTTCCTGCAGGCAAACTGCTGTCTGCTCCAGGACTGCTCCTCAGGGGCTGCCAACACTTAGCAAGAGCTGATACATCCCCTTTCCATGAAGAGGAAACCACAGAGCCAACCTGGGGCACCTACATGGGTGCACCCCGTGGCTTCTGTGCTGAGCAGGCTTCAGAGAGGGTACCAGACAGTGCACAGCAGCCGAAGCACAGTAAAGAGCCCAGAATCAGGTCATCAGCCTATTAAAGACCTTCTAGTGATTTTAGAAGAGTAAAGGGATTAACTCCAGACGTGGTGGACAAATTCCTTAGTGAGTAATTCAGCTGTTCTCCTAATGTCCTTCCTGTTGTATTTGTAATAGACAGTGTCTGAAGGACTCTCTCAAGTTGCTGCATGCTGGGAGAGAGTTGCCACCAACTGCCCAAGAGAGCACTACTGATGTGCTTCAGCCACCAAGGTGAGGTACTCAGTGTGTCCTGAGGTCCTGCAGGATGTCATCCATCCAGTACACCCTTCTCACTGGAGCAGGAGACCGGGGACTGTCATCCTTGGAGGAGATGGTCCTCTCCTTCCCAAGTGCACGCCTCTGGGTCTTGGTGCTCCCTGATGCCAGGGTGATGGTTCTGGAGGATTGTCCTTACTCTGAGCTAGGCACAGATCCCGTGGGAAGGCAGTGCTCATCTTGGGATTGGCACTGAGTTTAGAGCAAGCCCTCAAGTTGAGGACAGCCATGGTGTTATTGCAATCCTTTCTGGCCAGGACACCAGCAATAGACAAATATATGTGCATGCATATAACCCCATAAATCTCAGCAGGTTCTGCTTTCTGCATCCTGGGAGAGTCCCAAGAGCACAACCAGGTCCCCAAACCAGCCTGTTTTGCCCCAGTGCTGAAGCTGCAGATGCTGTTCCCTTGACGGGGCCCTTTTGCCCCTGGGTTTCCATGTCCTCAGTGCTCACGGAGCATTCATCTTGTCATTCGCCTCAGATGATGATGCAAAAGTAAATGCTTGTCATTTACACCACTCAGACATGGAAAAGGAGAGCTGAGAAATGTCTGCTCTGTGTTGAGGGCAGTGGCGTAGCTGACACTGCCCTGGAGGGAACTGCAGCTCTACTGAGCAAAGGCAAAGGTATTTTGGGGCTCTTTGTACCTGCTCATGGCACTGCTGTTGTCCCCACCATTGGTAACAGCAGAGACCTTGCATGCTATGGCTGTGAGGTCTGTAGGGTTTTCCCAGTTTTCCATCCACAGCAGGGTCTTCCACGTCCTTCCTCAAGCCTGAACCCATAGGCACTGCCTGGGGGATGGGTTCCATTTCCTTTCATCACTTGAGTAGCTGCTAATTCATATGGGTCAGTCTTTTCCTCTAAGCTCCTTTACCAAGCCACCCTTCCAGCTCCTTTAGTGCCTTAGCCCTGAGGTCCCATAGCCAGAGCCATGCCCAGGGGAGGGATCAGATCCAGAGCTCTTCAAAGGTTTTTGAAGGCTTCCTTTGAACCATGCTGGGTTTTTGGTTGAACATCGTGGATTTTGTGAGCAGCTGACCCGCTCAAAGCTCTTAGAGGGGACAGGTACCACCAGTGGGCCTGCTCCTTCGGTTTTCCCATAACAAACATAGCAGAGCCCTCATTAAGGTTGGGTGTGCATCAGTCCTTGGGCAACAATATTCCCCTGTGTGGTTGTGTGTTGCTTGGGTCCATCAGAAGCTGAAGAAAGGGGCAGCCAGACTGCATTGAGGGGGGGCACATGGGGCACAGCCAGGACACGGTGCTGAGATGAGGGTTTGAGTGTGGCAACCCAAGAGGCAGCAGATGAATCCTAGAATCCCAGAGTGGTTGGGGTTGGGACCTCAAAACTCACCCAGTTCCAACCCCCTGCCACAAGCAGGGACACCTTCCACTAGAGCAGCTTGCTCCAAGCCCCTGTGTCCAGCCAGGGATGGGGCAGCCACAGTATCATGTATCTAATATTCTATATTCTATATTCTATGTATTATATGAACGTTGCCTGCTCCCCCAAAGCCCCACTTCGTTGCTTTGCTGGAGGTCATCCTGGCAGCTTTCAGATGGGGACTCACCGGTGGACTCTCTCCTTTGACACACGCTTCACGGTGCGGGCTGGCAATGCCCACCCAGAGCACAGCTTCTGCTCCCTCCCTGCAGGAAAGGCACGTTTGGAAAGCAGGGAAATCATTCCCAATGGATACTGCGATTAAGCAGAAAAAGGCAATCCCAGCTCGTGTTTCGCCAGGGAGGCTCACGCACATCCTCACACCCAGGAGCCATTCAGGACCCCCGATATTATCCCTATCCCCTGCCAGGCGTGCAACCGGCCACGCAGAACAAATACCCCGAGCCCGTGAATGGCCACCGGGTGAAGTCAAGCTGTTTGCCTGCTCCCTTTCTCATTGTCCTCCCAGCTTCTCCCACTTTGAACCGGGGCTTGCGGCATCAGGAAGTTAAAAGGAGCCAGGAGCGGGGGGGGCAAAAGGGGGAGTGTTTCTTTTAAACAGAGAGCGAGGCTGGAGCGGAGGACACAGGCACTCCAGACCCTGCCTGTGCTCGGTATATTAGGCAGCCAGTGCTCTTGGCTGGCAGCCCAGACAGGCTTTTGTAATCAAAACATGATCCTGTGTGCTGTGCAACCAGTGCGGAGAAAGGCCGGCTGATGGCTCTCCCCTTCTAGCTCTGCGCTGGAATCCGCCGCCGATGGCCACCATGCACCGAGCCGTGAGTGCTGCCCCTGGGGGCCCGGGAGGGACGCGGGGGGCCCTCGCCGCACCGGGACGTGCTGTGCCTGCCCTCGGGGGGGGGGGGGGCTGCCCCTGCCTGCGCCTTTGTTGTTCCCCTCCTCGCTGGTTGCCGGCCGGCTCCGGGTG